ACGTCACGGCTTGATGTTGCCTGTGTAGGATGGGGCTAGCCCAACCAAGTGATTAAATTGTATAGGCATTTTTTGGTTCGGGGTCTTTTATCCTCCATGCTGCCTGCGCGCAGGTTTGGGGGTGGAAGATGCCTGGACGTGTAATGTTAATTTTACCTGTGATCCTTTGAATAAACCAGCACGGTTATTTTTTTATATATCCAAGTGGTCCGCCTCGTCTCTCTGAGTTCCTGGTTACAAGAACTGGGTTATATCTTTCACCCAGGAGCTGAATATTGCACCTCAGTAGATTATTGCATAGTCCCTCATAATTTCACCTATGTTATCACTGCAGTGATGTGTTGTACAGTCTGATAGCTGTGGGGAGGAATGACCTGCGATAACAGTATGGTGCAGGGGATGGGAGGGGTTATGCATGATGGATGTTAGTTTCGCCAGCATCCTTCTGTCCGCCACCTCCTCGAGGGCAGCCCAGGACAGAACCAGCTCTCTTAACCAGCTGGTTGAGTCTCTTTCTGTCCTTGTCCGTGCTACCTCCTGCCCAACCCTCAACAGTGTAAAAAAAATGTAGATGCCATCACAGTATGATAAAAAGTCTGAAGGAGTGCCCCACGCACACCAAAGTACCCCAGTCTCCTCAACAAGTGGAGGCGGCTCTGGCCCTTCCTGTACAGGGCATCTGTGTTGTTGGTCCAATCCAGTTTATTGTTGAGGTAGACACCCAGGTATTTAAAGGTGTCCACAATCTCAATATCTGAGCCCTGCAAGCTCACCGGCGTGAGTGCTGGTGATTTCTGCCGGGGGTCAATCACCATCTCTTTTGTCTTTCTGGTGTTCAGGACGACGTGGTTTTTCTCACACCACTCCACAAAGTCAGTAACAACCCCCCTGTATTCCCCCTCGTCCCCCCCAGATACACATTCAACAATAGCAGTGTCGTCTGAGAACCTTTGTAGATGACACTGGTGGGAGTTGTACTTGAAGTCCGACGTGTAGAGGGTGAACAGAAAGGGGGAAAGCACTGTCCCCTGGGGTGCCCCTGTGCTGCAGACTACCACATCTGACACACAGTCCTGCAGCCTTACGAACTGAGGTCTAATCAAGTTAAGCCAGCTACACAAGCTCTTCTATTACCAGTTTGTCATCAGATTGTCCTATCTTCATGTTCCACGGTCACCACTTATGGGCTCTTCTCTCCATTTGATTCTACGTTCTGCTCACTGTTGTTCATGTTTTTTTTGTTTTGTTTCACATGTCATTTATGGACTCTTGCTTTCTGTGGCTCAGTCTCTGGAGATTCTTTATGGTCAAGCCATCTATTTGTATTAGTTCTAGCACTGTTTGATTAAGACAATTTTTTGTACCTCTAGTAATATTTTACTGTGAGGACTTTTTGAGAGCTCCTTCTTGCCCAGCAGTTTCTATTCTTTTTATCTAACTCACTGTTGATAATTATGCTCTCACATGTTTTGTTCTATTTGTTTATACTATTATGGGAGCACTCTGTTGTCTTAGTTGCTGAGCCTTGCCATTTGTTTTGTCTGTATTAGACTTGCATTGGCTCACTTGTGTTCATTGTATGGTGTTATATTTATTGTGTCTTGCCACAGCCATTGTGTTCACCTGGGTTTATATTATTGTCCAGGTTATCCTCACTATCTCCTCTCACCTTTGGTTTGCATTTGGATCCAAAATCTTACCTGAAATCCTAATACACCTCAATTGGTACAGCCAAGATGATTGTTTTGGAGACTTCGGATGTTCGGACCACATTTCTTTGTTCATGTATCCAGCTTACAGACAAAGACTGAAACAAACAAACCCTGTCACCAAACAAATTAAACTCTGGACCCCAGAACCTGAAGGCATCCTGTTTTGCCCAGACAGGCTGGGATGTGTTTGAAGCTACAGCCACCTCGGAGGACTTTTCTGTCAACGTACAGGACTATGCTGAGTATGTGACCGGATATATTAGTACCTGTATTGACAACACTGTGCCCACCATACAAGTCAGGAGGTTCCCCAACCAGAAACCCTGCTGTGTGCTCGCTCTCATGCATTCAGATCAGGCGATGAGACGGAGTACAAAGCTGCAAAGTACAGACTGAGGAAAGCCATCACAGCGGCCAAGAGGCAGTACAGAGAGAAGCTGAATGGCTTTTATTCTACTGCTGACTCCGGACGGATGTGGCAAGGCCTGCAGCACATCACAGACTACAGGACCACCACCAGCATCATCAGCTCCACAGACAGCCTGCCGGATGACCTCAACACCTTCTACACCCGCTTTGAGACCTC